TCTATCTATCTATCTATCTATCTATCTATCTATCTATCTATCTATCTATCTATCTATCTATCTATCTATCTATCTATCTATCTCAGACAGACTGATTTAAACAGATTTTTATAGTTAAACACATTGACATAAGAAACTTTGAACTAACTTAAAGCAGGTCTATTTTGATTTTAAAAAACAGGAATAACAAATTCCCATAGATTATTTAGATTTTTCTGGATTAATTGTTCAAAACGTGCGACAAACATAACCAAAAAGAACATAAATAATAGAAAAGCAAAATTTTGACTATAATCTACAGGATTATACCTACAAAAGAACTGACCAGCAGAGCGGAAAATCCCCATTGGCTTGTATTCTACATGCTTATAAATGTTTGGGAAGTATTTAACAGAATGTGTTAATTCAACTTATTGGGTTACCTTGTTTTAATAAAACTCACGGGGTTATATTGTGAATGCTTATCTTGTACGAAACATTGACAAAGAGTTTACTTTTAAAATACCATTGGATTACGTTGTGGTTGATTATCTGGAACAAAACATTGCCATAGAGTTCTGAAAAAAAATTAAACACTATTTGATTGCACTGTGGTTAATTATATTGCACGAAACAACAAACAAAGGGTTTCAGTCACCCACCGGGTTATTTGTACAGTGTCCTGGATTCTGTTGTGATATACAATTGGGAGAGGTTTTAAAGGAACGTTTCTTTGGATTACATTCAGTTGGATTATCGTTCTGTTCAATTTTGCTGAGGAGCATTGTTACGTTGACACATCATGGTGCTTCCTAGCGTGATGGAGAACGGAGGGAAAAGTCCAGCATTAAAGGTGAGTAGTTGATTGCTCTGTTGTTGGTGGTGGTGGTGGCAGTGGTGTTGTTGTTGCTGTTGGTGTTGTTATGGTTGTTGTTATTGTCATTGTTGTTGTTGTTGGTGGTGGAAGTGGTGGTGTTGTTGTTGTTGATGCTGTTATTGTTGATGTTGTTATTGTTGTAGTTGTTTTGTTATTGTTGTTTTTGTTGTTGTTATTGTTGCTGTTGTAGTGATGATGTTGTGGTTGTTGTTGAAATGGCTGTTGCTGTTGATGATGCTGTGGTTGTTGTTGTAATAGCTGTTGTTGTTGATGATGATATATTATTATTTTTGATCTATTGACGTTGATGTCGAGAGTTTCGTTTTCTACATTAGTTTTTGTTAATGCTGTTGCTGTAGCTTCTACTGGTGATTTTGTTGTTGTTGGGTTGTTGTTTTTTTGTTCTTGGTGTTGTTGGTATTGTTACTGTGGCTTTCGTCGTCCTCTTGTTGTTATTCTTTTTGTTGTTGTTGTTGTTGTTGTTATTGATGATGCTGTTTTCGTCGTCCTGTTGTTGCTGTTGTTGCTCTTGCTGTTGCTGTTGTTGTTGTTGTTGCTGTTGTCGTTGTTTCAGTTGGCGTTTTTGCAGTTGTGAATGTTGTATATATCAAACTCATATTATTTGTTGCTATTTGTCTGACTGTCCAATGCTGTCTCCACTGTTTCGGTGTTATTGTCTAATTTATCCCAGGACATTGTGCAGAATATCCTGGTGGGTGGTTGGCAGGTGCTCTTGTGTGGTTTGCTTCTCCTTTCTTATCAAACATCTATCGTCCTTTTCTCCCCTCCTTCGTTTTTATTGGTGTGTTACTCTCTTGTAATTGTAACACCTCTAATCTTCTGGTGCTCATACGACCTTATGCAATCGAGAGCGCCGTAAAACCTCTACTAAAACATACAGAATATCCGGGGTCACTACAGGGGTCACCGTGGGGGGGTTGGTAAGGGGGGGGGGGGTCACAGTGAGGTTCCCTGTTTTTGATGGGGTTGTTTGGTGTGGTTTTTTTGCTTTTGTTTGTTTCGTTAGTTTGTTTCTTTGTTTGCTCGAGGTTATGTTTTGTTTGTCGTTGTTGTTTTTCTAGGGTTTATCTTTTTGTTTGTTCTGTTTTGTTTTTCGGCGATTGGATTTTTTGTGGGTTTTCTTTTGGGAGGGTGATTTGTTCACAGTGGGGTTGCAGCTTTGCCTTGCAGGAACTTGATTGAAGACTGTGATCGCTGTGATGTTTGAAGACGTGAGAGAAAAAAAAGGGGAAGGGGAATTTATTTACTGCAATCTATCTTTCTATTTATCTATCTATCTATCTATCTATCTATCTATCTACCTATCTATCTATCTATCTATCTATCTATCTATCTATCTTTCTTTTTTCTTC